CTTGTATCTCATCAAGCACCATTATATTGTAGTTTCTAGTCAATGATTTCATTACATCTGTTACCACCAAAAAAATCAAGTAAATTTCTAAAATAAATAGTTCATTGGCATGAAATGATTTTTAGAGGATGAATAACGTGGGGTGTTTTTTCCTCCCAACAAATAACAAATGTTTTGATTAAATCATATTTCTGTACTATGCTAAATTCCAACCCCAACTGATTTGGCACATTTTCTTTTCTGAAACTACCTTTGATAAGAAATGCATTACAAACTCATCAGTTTAGCTTCCTGTTAACAAAGAGACAGCAGCCGTCTGGGTTATTCTAGATCCGCAGTGAAACTGCCACACTATGTATGCTCAAACTAAAGCTGTGCAAGTTTGACAAGGGGCAGATGAATCCAGGAGTTATTGTGCAGGGGTTTAAGTCTATGCGGCAGCTGACGGTTGAAATAATCATCTATACATCGCTCTGAGCTAGCTGGGGAAAGGTTGAAGCTGTATATTTTCAACATATCTAGCCTAATGGTTAATCTGTTGTCTTGTACAGGGGGTGCTGGGTGGAATCACAGCAATAGCTGACAGTTTGGAGGAATTGCTGTGGGTATTTTCAGTTGCCTGATTCACAAAGTGGTAGGTAGCAAAAAGTCTAAACAGGCTTGTCATTGAATGAGGCAAGTCATGCTCACTGTCACTCCCATCAAAAGAACTCTCGTAGCCAAAAGCTCAATCAACATATTGATTATTTGCATTTGGTAATACCGGGCTGCAGCTTGCCTTCACCCCCCACCCTGTGAAAGCTTAGCCAGATTGCAGAATGGTGACTGCTCCTTTGGAGGTCAGCTTGGAAGATGTTCAGGAGAAAGACGTCGGTTAAGTTGGAGGAAGAAATAAAATATTTCTTCAAACCAAGATAGTTCAACTGTTAGAAACACTCTCTGTATTTCTAGTGCTGGATCTGACATATCTTCACAGTGACATGGCATTACTCACTACAGAGATTAAGGGGGTGCAGTATGAATTAGACTGAAACAAAAATGAAGTATCTGCAAGTGACAGCTCTGGCTGATGGCTGACTCTGAAGGAAAACACTGTGCTAGTGTCTGGCGAAAAACAGTGCTGAAAGCCTAGCAGCTGATAGAGATGGGGGAGGAAGGGAACACTGGGTATCGGTGGTGGTTGTTTAGAATGTCTGGTTTTGGTCAGGATATTTTTTCTCCTTTAAAACACATGTTCATCTTCCCTTCCAGGCAAATCATGCTGAAGCCAGTTTCAGCCATTTTGTTGAAAGCACTGTACTGGTATTCTGCCTTGTTACATTTAAATTAAAGCTCAGCCCAGTTTTAAGTTATGGCAAGTGTATGCTCACAAGGAATAAATAGAGATTGCCACAGGCATTAGTTTAACTACATTTGTTGTTTTAAAAATGTTCAGGGAGTTGCAGATTGCAATTCAAATTATCTTCATTATAATAAATAAAATGTATAGAAATAGAAATAGGCATGATTCCCTAACGCCGTCTGTAGGCAAGTGTATATTCATTGAGCTTGAAAGGGAGTTCCTGAGGGTGGGGGTAAGGAATAGGAATATATGCAACTTCAAAATACCTTTACAATTGCATTAATATATCACATTTTATACACATTATTTTTTATCTCTCTAATGGTGACAGGCTTCTTGGGCAAATTCTGTACAGCATTTATTAAAAAGTAGGTAGTGCTCACCCAGGGTGCAATTAGAAAATACTACAGAAAATGGAATTTCTTACCCTTACTCTACTTTTATCCTGTTCCTAAATGTTTGCCATTCTCAAAAAGTAGTTTAAAATTTGCTCTCAAAATGGCTCTCAAAATATTCTTAGGTAGTAATAATGTCTTTTATGACAATGTACTGAACAGTTCTAAGGAACTTTGGCAGTATAAGCAATGCAGGCCTGTGGCTGTTTGCATTGGAAATAAAGTCATATGTCATACTACATAAAAAGAAATTACTTTAACTATGACTAGAAAAATAGTCCTGTTTTAGTAGACTTGGTGGTGCTAAACCCTTCCCATACTTGGAAGAGAGCTCTGGTGGATTTGGAGGTTGTGATTTGATGTTGCAGAGTGGTAGGACAGATTACCCCGATCCAGACAGTTTGATTGCCAAACCTAGTGAGGCAGTGACAATATGTAAGGATGTCTTTAGTTCCATATAATTAACAGCAATCTTTGTTTCCCAAATATGTTTTCTATGAAAATCAGCCCACATAATAGTGCAAGAACCCAATCAAATTTTAGAGCAATTATTAATAAAAATCAGCTGTCTTTGCTGTACAGGGGGATGCTCCATAAGTGGTTTAGGTTCTGCACACTATAGTCTGGATCTGGTGAAGCTGGCCTGTGTTTCTCACCTGACTGTACAGTACTGCTTAATCCAAAAGCTCCGTGCTTGCTCATGCAGTTCAGGGTGTATCCTGGCAGCCCTGTGTGTGTGGCACAATGTGCATCTACAGCTTGACAGAGTAGTAACCAGTAACCAGTTACCAGTAACCAGTAACCAGTAAGAGTAACCAGTTTTACTCGTCTCTGGTAAAAAATAGATGCAATTTTAGGAGGAATGGAGAAATGACCTATCTCTGCCAAAGATAGGTCATTCAGATAATGTTCTGTAATCCTTGCTTTTGAAGACTGAGTAAAAAGACATGGGCCATAAACTGTTGGAGTAAGAAAGAAAATTGTCCTATGTACAGAGAATTGTATCACTGATCCATTGTGGGGCTTCTTCCACTTTGATCTGAGCTCTTGTCAGAGGCAGGAGGCCAGAAGTCATGGGATGAAACCAGTAGTTAGAACTTTTAAAATTAGAATAATTTAACCAAAAAAAATTGGCAACTTGTTATGCCCATACTCAGTAATAGTACCTGGCCACACTGTTGGAAGCAAGGGGAAATAACTTGGATTTTAAGCATCTCAGTCTGCCTTCCTGCTGAACAAGATCATGTGGTGCTATTAAACAAGATGGCAAGCTCCAGGTTCAAAGCCATACCAAAAGACGAAATAGAAAAAGTATTTTTGTTCTGACACATGCTGTGCCACTGCAAGCACAAAATCTTGGAAAAGCTTGAATTTGTCTGCATGGAATATGCCATAAGACATACACTGCTGTGGAAGGTTATTGCTTAATAGTCAGGTCTGGTATCTGAAACCATCGCAGGTTGAACTCCAGAAGAGACTGTAAAAAGATTATGGTGTTTCTTAAACAACTTGATTGGAGGGTCGATAAGCTTAATAGATTCTGGTCTTCTTCCATTGCATGTGAAGATACTTTGATACAGGATGTGGATTCTTAAAGATTATTTTCAGTATTACTATCTGCACTTTAAAAATAGAACTGGGTTGATGCATATCGAGGCCTTCAAATACATGCTTGACCAGTGACATGTGTAGGGAAATAGATCTCTGCAGATATATTTTATTATCTGAAAATTATTTCACTTGGAGGAATATCAAAAGTAGAAGTATAAAACTTGATAAAAACCCCAGTAACTCTGAGGTAAAATTGATAGCTGTCAAGTAGTATATTCAATATTTTATACAGTATATTTTATTTTTGTGTCGGTATTGCTAATCATGTATATATGTTCTCCTCTGATGATTTAAAATACATGTGAACTCTGGTGAGTATATATTATTATTATTATCATTATACTTCATGTATTAATTCTATTAGTAAAAATCAGAATAACATTGTAAATTAGACTTTAGTTCTTCTCTCAGTATTTTTTCTACCTCAGTCAGAGTATTAGCAGGCCATCAAAAGGTCACTGAATTGGAATGGGTGCTTTGTCACCAACCAGTTCAACCTTGTTAAAAAGTACCTTCAAATGACTCTTGTAATTCCTGTACACTGAGCTTTGCCATGAGAGAGACAGATTTTGTGCTTGAAGAAAAATGGCAAGCATGGGAATGCTATTTTCTTCTTTTTCCTGTTACCAGATGGTGTTTCTAGCTGGTGGTAAACTAAACAAAGATCCCAAAAAACATGCTGACCTCCTCAAAAACTTTGTCTCTACTCTCTGCTCAGTGTTCTCCATAGAATCTTTGAGGCAATTGAGACGTATGGAAATAATGCTGCAAGCTTATCGGTCCACCAATTACTCCCTACCTAAACTTCTTAACTTCATTATACATAACCAAATATAAGGTCTTAGCAGCTCAGTTATATACCTTCTTCTCTATGCTATACTCATTCAGAATGAAACGAAAATTAGGAGAAGATCTTTATTGCATATTTTTACCAGAGAAACATTTTGTTGTTGGTTTTTACTGAGGGTGCCATTTGTTAGAGGCATTAGTAGGGGGTAGTGTTTAAATAGCCTTGATATATTATCAATGGAAGAAAAAGAATCATAGTTCTAAGCTAAATCCATGTTTAGAAAATTGAATTTCTTAACTTTCTTTTCAGAGGTACTATGTATGACCTCCTGAAATTTACAATATGCAGCACTGTTGAATACTCAACAACTTTTATGTGGGTTCCTTAAAATCAGTTTAATTCCATAAGTATGCTTGCACAATTTTGAAGTGGTGACCTTATGTTTTCTATGATTCCTTATTTATTTTAATAGCAGCAGAGTGCTTTACCTCCCCTGTCATTTTTAGTAGTTTCAAAGAAATAACATCCTCCACAGATAGTAAATCTCAAAGCCCTTATCAACATGGGGGAATAAGTATTACCTCAGACATACTTACCCTAGGATGGGATTATTTCTTAAAGCTGATAATATTGTTGAATAATCCTTTTATAAGTATTCTTTTATAAAGAGTCATTTCTAGAGAGGAAAAAAAAAAAACAACCTAAGAAAGCTGCAGGTATAAACCTTTATTTCTGCTGTTGGAACTGATAGTTTAAGCTTTAATGTCTGTATTTCCACATAATATCAAAATTGATTCATGCCTGTGGTTTGAAATAATTTTTAATACAAAGAAATTAATTTAAATTTTTTCTTATTATTTAGAAGTAAAGAATGCAGCTAGATCAAGTTATCCAAAATGTTCATATCAATTCAAGAATGCAACTACTAATGCATTGATTGATGCCAAGTCCACTGAAGGAATCCCGGAACCTGTTCCACTTGTTAATAACCGTAAAGGGAGCCTCTTCCTACCCAACAACCCCTCGCTGCTGCACCTTAACTTACTGAGTTCTGTTGAACAAGGAAAATCTACCTACTGTAGATTGCAAAGGGCACTCAGCTTGCCTGTAAAATACCGCTACCATTCCCAAAAGCCTGGGCTGAACCAAGATCTCCGTAGGTAGCCCAGTAGTTGGATGCATAAGGCAATACAGAATGGTTTGTGCATGGTTTTGCAGTCTGTTTTCAATGTGACTATGACATTACTAATGCTCTGTTAAGTGCTTACAGATGTGGGTTTCTCCAGATGTGGTGATTAATAAGTTAATTGAGATAGCTGGTTAACTAATGTTTATGAGTGGTTTGTGCTTTACCTTTCAAAGGATTTAATTGCTTTGAAGCATTTACATGCTAGGCAGAATGAACTTACCAGGTATCCCAGTTCATGTGATATTCAGTAATGTAGATGTTATTTCAAATTCCAGCTCTTTATGGTGTCTAAAAAAGTATCTGTAAACTAGTTCAGCTAGTGACCTGGGAGAAGCAGTCAAGGAGACAGTGTTGTTTTAAAAATAGTTAGAAAATAGCAAAGGAAAAAGTTATGAACTTGTCCACTGTTTTGAAAGACTTTCCCTTTGTTTTGTTTTAAAAATGAAATGAAGATAAAAGTCAAGTAATGTGTCGTTACAGATGTTCAACTCCACATTAAGGCTGTTAAAATTACCAGCACATCTTAAACCAATTCATGGAACATTGTCTGGAGGTTATGGCATTGAAACAATGAACACTCTTTACTCAAGAATAAGCAAACATGTTAAAACATCAGTGTAACTTTAAATTAAACTCCAGCATAAAATTGAGCGTCTGAAGCCTGATTAGACTCGCCTGGCATTTTTTTAGCACTGAGTCTTTCTGAACTGCAAAACTGTTATTAGACAAGTGAGCTCTGGGTTGTTACAGCAGTACAATAAGTGTTATACTTAGGGATGTGCAAACAAGCTCTTGAATGTTATTAGAACTCAGAAGCTGAATTGAGTTGCAAATCTATAAAACTCTGCGTCCAATTCTTGAACTTATTTCAAATTTTCATGATAGCGGCAAAAAAAAGTCTGTGTAACATAATATGGCTGTAGTTAATACAAATCCTGTAGTATAAAGACATAAAAAATGGGGACTCCTTAACAAAAACAAACATACAATATCAGAATTGAGTTGTCATGTATCACAGCCCCATTATTCAAATGTTTGTCTTTCATAAGCAAATTTAAGGTTCTCTTTTAAATTAATGCAGACACAGAAACCGTGAACCTAAAATATTTAATAACCTTACTAAAAATTTTGCTAGATCTACTTCTTTAAATAGGCAGGAAATTGATAGGAGCATCTGAAGGATAATAATTATATGTTTTATATCCTACTTACTACTAAGAAACCACTTGGGAGTTATCACTGCAACATTTTTGGGAACCAAGCCATAGGTAATACTGTCCATTAGATACTATTCACATATTTCAGCTTCATGTGTTTCCATGTTCTTATGGAGCTGTGTTGCTAAACTGCAGATGCCCAGTAAACTCTGTGTGGAGATTTCAATGAAAAATAAAACTTGATTTTCTGTCATATGATTAATGTAGTTCTCCTTTCATTGCCACAATGAGAATAAATGGCTTTCTTGGTTAAGCAAAAAAATTGAGATCCCTCAGAAGGCTTTGCTAACAGGTATTAACTAGTGAGCCACATCAACCTTGGACTTTCCAGGCAACTGGTGATAGTAACATAGTTTGAATATGACAAGCACATATCCAAAAAGGAAGCTAATTTATTGCAGATGGCAGTACCAATAATAAGTGCAGACTGCTAGAGATGTACTTCTAGAAGATGTTATTCTGAATGATTGCTAGTAAGACTGAAATTGGGTGGCAGGTTAGGGTCACCTGGCAGCACTGGAGAGCACAAGTGTTGGACCATAGAGTACAAAAACATCCTTACTGTATTAAATTTCAGAATTTGAAAGGATCAGACAGGATTCTTATTAGCTAGCTGAAAACTTGGAAAAATATTATTTTTTAATATTGTTTTGTCTCATTCAGAGAAATATTTCTGGTTATAATATTGTCTACAGTTGACTTGTGTTACTGTAAGATTTTTGCCCATGGTCCTGATGGCTGTGTATGTTCCTTGAACTGCTAAAACTGTATAACAATACACTTGTGGTGCCATACTGCATCTCTGGACAAACATTCTATTACCCCGTATGGTAACAGATTAATTTGAGTGAAATTTAGAATTTTTACTCCCAAGAGAGCAAAATAGATAATTTGGTGTTTTCTGGAAGGAGCATTTTGCATGGTTCTTGTTAATTTGATCTTTTAAGTGGTGGAACTGAATATTTATATCCAATGAAGAACAAGAGAGCACAGTGGATATCTTGAAACCTATTGTCTGTGTGGAATAGCATACAAATAACTTTTTGTTAGAGAAATTTAAAACCAGACTAGTCCATTTTCAAGAGAATAATTTGAAGAGGGTGTTCTGAAAAGCACAAAGCCTTGCACTTTGTTGCAATCAGAACTGCAAAGGTATTACCAACAAAACAATTCTGTGCATGTTCACTTCATGGTACACCTAGGTAAGTACTGAAGTGATCTAGTTTAATATGTGCAAACTGTCACAGAAAGAAAATTTCAATTTATGTATTTTTGAGAATTTTCTGTGGCTTATTTATCTCTCAGCCAAAGAATGACATTTGACTAACCATCAATCAGTGTAAATGCACTATAGGACTTCGATTTGGAAAAAGAAAGAAGTCAAATGAGAAGAAAATCCTTTGTCTTTAGGGATGCTGCCCAAAAAGAGAAGAAACCTAGTGAAGAAATCATTATTAGACACTCATTGTTCTGATCTAAGTATTATCTTTTACACCACTCTGGCACAATTATTTTGGGATTAGCTTTGTTTGGTTACTTCTGTTGTTTTTTGGTTTTTTTTTATTTTGCAGTGCTTTCTTTGGTTGTGACTCCCTTGTGCTAGGTGATGCCAGGTCATCTGAAAAGAGAGAAAATTCTGTCTTTTCATGGTCCAGCCCTTTGGTCTTGATCAAGGCAAAATGAAGTTCCATAGCAGGCTTGGTCAAACAGACAGACCAGTGTGGCAGGCTGGAATGCAGTCTGTAATAAAATAGAAAGTAAAATAAAATAAAACCCTCAGAAGAGGGCTATAGCAAAAGGCTATTGCTTCATTTCTTCACAGATAAGTCTGGGGCAGGTGACATATATCTCAATTTTGTTGTTTTTCCTATGTATCTTGTTGTAAGTAGTATTTTTTTTCTCAGCCTCTCCTTGTGCACTGCTAATGTGTACTACTACTACTACTACTAATGCCTTTCCTTTTAGCTTTAAAGTAAAAACTTCCTAGGCATCAGTTATATTATCTTCCAATTAATTTCTCAATTAACAGTAAGATGGGAAAAAAAGTTCATTTTTTCTTCTTTATATCACAATAAATTAGCATTAGCATGAACCTGAGAAAGCAGGCATGAGTTTATTCCCTTTGCTAGCACACATAAAGGTTACATACAGATTATAAAGTGCAGTTACAATCTCAAAATAGTAAAGATTATGGTTAATTCTTGTAGATGAGTTCTTAGGAAGCTGCACCTGTTTAAGCAGTACGTTCTGTGGCGTAAGTTATCCAAGAGTAGTTTATGACTGGCAAAACTGTAAGTGATTTTATATCTGAAAATTGATCTGTCCTTGAAAATGCACCTCATCCTCATTAAAAGATTGCATAACACATGCATCCTCTGTTATACAGGTATTGTCTCCCCACTTCCATTCAACCTCATTCTGTTCACTCCTGTTAAAACTGTTTTGTGAGGAGAGTAGAGCGATGAGGTCTGACTTGTGCTGGAGATCTGTGCACAATGGCAGGCTGCATTCACATTCCCGACTAACTGAATCATTGAACATCAAGGCATTGAATATTTTACATCTCTTCATGAAGACTCTGTTGTTTGGCATGTGAGGAGCGAGAACCAACTGGTGTCTAGTTCATTAGCAAAAGCAGGCTGGCAGCTGTTACGTTGATATTGCAAATAGTACTTTATCTGTCTGGGAATACAGCAGAGCACTAATTCTATTTTTCTGTAGCGCAGATTAACTGATAATAACTAAGAATAACCCGAATGTGGTCCCCCCGCCTTTGTTTTTGAAGTATGAAACCAATTTGAACACCTCTGTTCAAAACCCTGGTATTCTTCTCTGCTTCTCCTTCAAACCAATCTCTTCGACTAACACATATTTGATTTTTATTACTGTTGGGCCTATGTTAGCAATGAAGTATCAGTGCGTGAATGGACATAGAGTGTGTGTTCTTTGCTACTTCACTTGTATTTCATATTGCACTCAGAGCAGTACTTAATCTCATGAGTTCCTTATATTTCCAGTTGAAGATGAGCAGCCGTCGACACTATCGCCCAAAAAAAAGCAGCGAAATGGAGGCATGCGAAATTCACCCAACTCCTCACCCAAACTGATGAGGTAAGACTGTAAGAAACTCATATCTTCATCTCCTTTCTTTCTTCCTTCCTCCTCTCCTCCCCCCACATCAAAAATAAGGGGAGGGGGTGAAAAAAAAAGATTGTTAGATGGTTTCTGAAAGGCTGAAGTATTTATTCTGTCAGCTTGTCAGCAGTTAATGATAGAGCTGAAAAAAAATTCTGTCATGAAAAACAGTTTGAAAAGCTGTTTGAAAAATACATAGGCTTTAAAGTCTTAGCTGTCACCCTGTCCTGTCCATGTGTAGTTCTTAAACAGCAGTGGCACTAATGATAGCACTAACCAATCAGGGGAACTCATGTGGTTAGTTTGCCTCAGGCAATTCTCTTTTTGTTGGATTCCCTCTGAGTACTGTTTTCTGTACTTAAGGCCATATGTGAGATGTATCATCACAATCAAAAATGAACCTGAATATTACCTTCCTTTTATCCTGTCGATTGAAATCAAATTTCTCTTAATTGATTTAGACTGATGAAAAAGTCTAATAATATATGTACTTGCCAAAGCAAAGTTCAAAACTAATGCAGTTTTAGTCAAGCTAAAAGCACATTAATTATGAAATACAGGGATTTTCAAGAGGGTAGTATATACTTTAAAAGTGGGTGATGAAAACAGCATCTTGTTAGTGATATTTTCCCCTGTTGTTACGTGTACATTGTTTTACAATAGTACTCCTTTGTATAACTGTGTTGTTTCCTTTAAATTACCTCTAAAATATTTGTTTAAACTAGAACTGCAGCAAGAAGTTGTAATCTATTAAAATATTATGTCATTTGCATTCTAGCTCACTGTGCTTTGCCTTTTACCTGCTCAAGTCAGTCAAAATGCGGTCCCATAGTAGACACAGAGTTTTCAGGGAGGGTGTTCCTGCTCTGTTTTTTGCATATCCTATATAGCCAGGCTAGACCCTCAGTCCATAATTGTATCCATAAATACCATAGCAGAGATTTTCCACTCTGTGTGTATATACGTGTACACACACAAACACAGAAAAATGTAAACTTGTTTACATGTATAAACAGACACATCCGTGCAATTTGAGATTTATGTGTGTGTAAGTGTGCCTGCTCACAGAGGTTAAGTGAAAAAAAAAAAAAGATACAAATATATAGTTATTTCCATAAATAAAATCTCCTATAATTTTTATTATTGACTTTGATTTTGTTCCTGTAACGATTCTGGATACAGGTAGGTGATAGTTCTCTTTGTATTTCAGTCACTAGACTGGAATTTTCTTTGGGCAGTTACAGAAGCATCCATATTTGTTTATTGTTTCTGCAATATAGGGCATATTCAAGGACATAACTTCCACAAACCGTCTTCATCTCTGTTTAGACTACAGAACTAAAAGTGAGATTGATTCACACAGGGAAAATGCACCCAGCTGTGGCTTTTTTTTTTCCTATTGACCATCTATTTCTGTTAAAGGTATCATTAAAAGTTCTCTGCCTTCCTGTTAGCTCAGCCTTGCCCATATGACACTGATTTACATGCTTGTTTACAGTTTATGAGGAAGAATAAAATGAGCATACTGGCAAACTTCTCATTTTTATAGTGCCAGTTGTCATGCTAGCATAGTTTTCAATTTACTTACCTTTGGACAGTCCTCTTACCTGGTGCTAATTGTTTTGACTGCTTGAAATTTAAACACGTGGAGATTCCCCCCACTCGCCTTCTTCCAGATTCTAATTTTGGGGAAGTAAGTGCAATAAAAGAGAGGAAGAGAGAGAGAGAAAGAGTTGAAACATTTAGAGCTGAACACACTGTCCCTGTTTGCTATGTAAAGTATGCCTCATTTCTTTGATCTTGAGTAATAATAATTCTGGGGAGTTATACTGTTTTCATATGCTTCAAAGCTGTGTCAAAGTTTTGCTGCTTAAGGGTACTTCTTTATTCTATTGGCTCTTGGGTACTGAGATGACAGGTCCTCTGTACTAGGTGCAGGCTTTTTCAAGTCATAGCCTTCAGCAAAACATCAAATTACCAAATACAGGGTAACATACTTCTACACAAATGCCTTTCCTGTAGATATATTATACCATATATATTAAATACTTTAGTGTTACACGGTACATTTTATGTGCAATAGAAAGTGATGGTTTGAGGTAGCCTTAGGGGTACTTTTTTCCACAAGCAGAAAAAGCTAGTGTATACCGTATCAAGTATGGTTTTTACAGGACTTTCTGCCCGAAGGCCTTTGTAAATAAGTAATGATCAACAGATTGGCTGTGGGTTTTTGAAAAGCATGCCTGTGTCAGTTTGCATGATGGGGGAAGATTTTCAAAGTACAGCCTGCTTTCATTGCCTGCTGAAGAGGGACTGAGGGAGAGTAGTCGTCCTGAGCCTGAGCTGTCTGCTCAGTAGCACATCAGAATTGCTAAACACAGGTTGAGCAGTGAGTGGAGAACTTGCCAGGCTTCCAAATCCAGACATTGTTTTCTTCTTCTCTGTTGCTGCTAAATTTATTCTCCAGCCCAGTGTTCGCACCCTCAGCTTCTCCCCAGACCAAACCATCTCTTTGTTTTACTCTTCATCTACACAGACTTAACTTTGGTCCAAGGTGCTAAAAGAGACAAAGTGGATTGAATCAGAAGAGAGCTCTGTTAAGCTTTGTTTGTAATGGTCAAACTATTTTCTCCTCTCTAAAACAAAGGTGGACTGTATTATCTGCTATTTCATATCCTTGTAAATTACAGAAAGTGACAGGTACTTGCTTTCCTGCCCAGAAATCTTTAGTGTGTGTCAGCTGGAAGTACCCACGAGGTAAATCAGCTAAAGCACTGTCATGTCTGTGGCTGATATTTATCTTTGGAGGTTTTTTCCTAAATTTACTTTAAAAGCCCCTTTGCCCCTGTACCACCTGCCCAGAAGTAGCTGGCTACTTCGCAAATTTTTTCTCAGCTGTGATTTTAGATATGGAGGATCTAGAAGGAGTCTGGAAGACAAGTCTGGATTATGAAAACAACAAATATGTGGAAAATTCATCTATAAATTGAAATCCGAATTGTGACTTTTGAATTGTTCTGAGCAGCCATACAGTTAAGATAATGTTAAAAATGCTGCACAGGTTTTAGATGCCCACAGTGGTGAAGGCATCAGGGAAGAGGGTATTGTGCTATGAGACAAAACTTTATGACGTATTGCTGGATTAGAACAGAGATGGAAATGGTATCACAGGGGTTCCCTAGGACCTCATGATAAGTGGTCTGACCTGGTCAGAGAGTGGGAATTTTTGATATTTACTAACACATAAGTAGAAATCTGCATTACCAAATATGATCTGGATAGATAGATTTGAGACATCTTTTTAACGACATCTTTTTGATTACTCTAAATTACAAGAAATTACTAACTGAGAGAAAAAGACAACTGACATAAAAGTGCTCTTTGTGTACATCACAGACGGTCTAGACTCACATTTGGGAAGCCACTGTTCTGACTGAATGCTGCATCCCATCAAATGGCACAAGCAGAATCACACTGATGCAATACTAGAAGAGTCTAATCAATCAGAAACTAACCTTTAAAATTCCAGCAATACCCACAGACACAAATTAATCAGAAGAATACTCAGCGTTGTCATGGCTGGTTTTACCCGTTTTACATCAGCAGAAATCTGTCCCATGAAATCCACAAGCGCGTGGATGGTTTTTTTTAAATAACTGAAACTCCAACAGGAAGAAACAGATTCTCCTCTCCTGTTAAGATGTGAACACAAGGACATCCTATTACTGTAAAAAGTAAAATTTAAATAGGAAATGGAAGGAAAAGGAAGGCAGGCTGTGACTGGGAGAGTAATCACATATCAGGTGCCCTTCATGAGGTGGAGAAGAAAAGTAGAACTGATCAATGCCTCTGGTATCATGCAGCAATAGCAGTCCCTGTTCATCATCTCAGTTGCAGGTTCTGATGTGCACTATTGATGAGCAGCCACATTAACTATGAGGAGGCTATGTCGCCTGAATATCAAAGAGCAAAGCTAGTTTTAAAAAAAATGTGTCATTTTGGATTCAGAATTACCAGTAAAAATGTGAAAAGCCCTGGATATGAATCAAAAAAACCACTTAAATGATTGTTGCTGAGCCTCAAGTCTATGCTTAATGCTTTGGTAGCTGCTACTGCATGAGTGGAATACACTGACTTGAAGGAAATGTCAGCCCAGCTGAGTCAAACTACCTCTTAATGCAAGAACAAATAGCATATGACAGGGCCCAAGGGGCCTGAAGAGCAAACAAATAGTTTGTCCCTGTCCACTCTGGATGTAGTGGTGTAGTTGACATAGGCCTCTAGACAAGTAGCATACTCAGCAAAGGGTCATTATCATTAGTGTCCCTGATCACATAAGAATCAGAGGCATCAGAGGACACTGGGTTTTCAGTTTGTTGCCAAGGAGAATTTCATAAGCCTGAGGATTTTTTTTTGATCGAGGATCTAAAATAATTCCCAACCAAACAATAAAACTTGCTCAGAAACTGTCAAGACCCAGCTAAATGACACAGAAAAAAAGTGAGCTCTTTGGCATACGTTTCCAGAAGCCTAATGAGATTATTTATCTGAAGCTGAGGAGGAAACCTCCTGTCTTTTTTCCTGAAGTTGTATATAATATTTTAAGTATATGAACAATGGCTGTGCACATTTATCTTCTCATCCACCCACTAAGCCACATACACTTAAATGTACATACACATTTCTGCTAGTGCCACTCAGCATGAATTTGCATTGCCTCTGCCATCGTAGTGCTGCCCTTCCATGAACTGAAACTGTGAGCTTTCTCATAGAAACCAAAAAAAAAAAAAAGTGATGGCAGATCTAGGGGGAGCATTTTTCAAGCCAAAACTGGTGAAAAAAGTTGACTCTGATCATTTTCCATGACTCCCTTAAGCCAGACATGAAGGTAAAGTTTGAAAAGGTGAAAGCTGACTGATTAGCCACAATAATGGTATATATTTATGTCCCTCAGCCTTGGAAGTTTCCATTTTGTA